GAGAGAGAGGTGTCTGTCAACCTGCAAAATAATGTGAGCACAAGAAAATATAATATTTCTATGCCTCGCATTATTCCTATCTGTCCAGGTGGCCCATAGGATCAGACACGGAATAAGGAAGCCCACGTGTCTACTGTGTGTGCGGTGTAAGAAGAAACTCAGGAGCTCAAAAAAATTGTCTGTAGTGGGTAGGGGTATATGAGTATATCTGGCATAGTGCTCCCACACTCTCCTCACAGTCTCACTCTCAAGGAAAAGATGGGTGAAAGTCTCGATCTCAAAGGTACCGGTCTCAGCACAACAAGACCAGACAGAAATCTTTACCTTCTTATCTCAGTCAATATCACCATTCTTTGCCTTCTTCCCATTCTGTTCAAACAGGGACACACATCACATTGCCTGGTACACCCCATGACATTCATGACTTTATATCCTCTGAAAATCTTTCAACATCCTTTAATTGTTTTACAGCCTCTATTTCTCAAATTACAGAACCCAAGACATACAAACAAGCTTTTAAAAATCCATTATGGCAAGAAGCGTGCAAAAAGAAATTTCAGCTATAGAGAAAACAAACACTTGGGTTCTGACTGATTTACCCAAAAATAAACATTGTATTGGCTGTAAATGGGTTTATAAAGTTAAATATAAATCTGATGGGACAATAGAAAGATATAAGGCTAGATTAGTAGCCAAAGGCTATACCCAAGAGGAGGGCATAGACTATTTTGATACATTTTCTCCAGTTGCAAAAATCACTACTGTCAGGCTATTAATTGCACTTGCATCCATCAAACATTGGCATTTGCATCAACTAGATGTGAATAATTCCTTCTTGCATGGTGATTTGGATGAAGAAGTCTATATGACTCCTCCTCCAGGGTATTCTGTTGACAATAAGGTCCTCAAACTTCAAAAGAGTCTATATGGTTTAAAGCAGGCCTCAAGGCAATGGTTTCAAAAATTGACCTCTTGCTTGCTTGATTTTGGTTATATCCAGTCTATTGCTGATTGTTCTTTATTTACCAAGTCTTCTGATAATTCTTTTACTGCCCTGTTAATAAATGTTGATGATATTATTCTCACTGGCAATAATATGTCTGAAATCAATTCTGTTAAGTCCCATTTAGATAATGTTTTACAATCAAAGATTTGGGACAACTTAAGTATATCCTTGGTTTGGAAATTGCACATTCTGAAAAGGGTATTAATGTTTGCCAAAGAAAGTATGCTCTTGACATTTTAAAGGATACTGGCTACATTGGTTGTAAACCCTCCAACACACCAATGGATAGTACTTTAAAATTAACTTCAAATTTCTCTTCTGATTTGGTTGATGCTACTTCATATAGAAGGCTAGTGGGTAGGCTATTATATTTGACAATAACAAGGCCTGACATATCATTCAGTGTCCAATGTTTGAGTCAATTTATGTCTCAGCCAAGACAGGACCATCTACAAGATGCATATAAGGTACTCAAGTATGTCAAATCTACAGTTGGAGCAGGTATTTTCTATCCCAGAACTTCTAAACTTCAACTTCATGCCTATAGTGATAGTGATTGGGCCGTTTCCATTGAAACTAGAAAGAGTATAACAGGATATTGTGTTTTCTTAGGTAGTTCTTTGGTTTTCTGGAAATCTAAGAAACAAAACACTATAAGCAGATCCTCTGCAGAGGCAGAGTATAGAGCTTTAGCCTCCACTGTCTGTGAAACACAATGGCTGTTATACTTGTTGAAAGATTTTCGTTGTTCTCATGATTTTTCGGTGTGCATTTTTCAGATAGTAAGTAAGCTATTAGCATTGCTCAAAACCCAGTTTTCCATGAAAGGACGAAGCACGTAGAGATTGATTGCCACCTCATCCGGGAGAAGATAGCTAAAGGGATCATCAACCTTGAATTTGTCTCCTCTTCAGATCAGGCTGCAGACATTCTCACAAAACCATTATCCAATCAAAGCTTCAAGTCCAATATTTCCAAGCTAAGCATGTTGAATATTCATGCTCCCATTGCAGGGGGGGGGGGTGGTATTAGAATATAGATATATTAATTAGTCTTTTATATTAAAGTGTATTTTCAGCTTCATATGTAAAAGTGTTACTTTGTGAATAACACTTTATGTTGTATAGGATGAGTATAAATAGGTGGTCATTAGGGTTTGGTCTTCATTTTTTGGCTTTTCGTTTCTCTCTCATGTACAGACGCTCCTCCTTCTCTCTCTCTCTAATCTTTCATCTTCAATAAGATTTTTCCAGGTTTTCACATCTAATAGATTCACACTTCTCGTGGATCGACCCTTACTCGCCACTACTACTAGTTAGTAGAGGTTGGTTAAGGAAAATATGAATTTTAATTTTGTCGCGTTGCGACGCGCGGTCATGACACATGCAATATACTACGATATTAACAATTTTATAAGATAATCAGTTCTAATTTATCAGTCCTAACATAATAGTAATAAATTCTAATTTATAAGATAATTAATTCTAATTTATAACATGATAATTTATGAGTTCTAACATAATAATAATAAATTCTAATCCATAAGATAATCAATTCTAATGTATAACATAGTAATTTCTGAGTTCTAACATAATAATAAAATATAACTTATAACATATTAATTTCTACTGAAATAATTTTTTTCATAAATAAAATTAACAAATTCAAACAAAAACAATGGCCAGTCGACCAGAAGAACGACCACAGCACCGCCAACCAAATGGCAATTGCGGTCGGGCACGATCCCAATTGGCCGGCAAGGTAGGCCGATGAAGGTCATGGTCGTCTGCATATTACGACCGCCAATGGCATGGCCTACCTCGCCGGTCGGCTTCGCCCGTTCGTCTATGGCAGATTGGCCGGTTTTACCGGTCGGCCGGCCAAAATACACACTTCGTCGGACGACATTTTCTCGCCGAAAACCGTCTGGTAAAAAGAATTTGATAATTTTTGAATTTTTTAAAAAAATAAGAAAAAAATAGTTCAAATGGACGATACGTAGTAATAAGGGACGGTGTTTAGTAAATTCGTCCATACTCGACTTGTGCTGCCCGGGGCCAAAATCAGTCAAGATTTATTATATCAACTAGTACTTTCTGACCACAAATTTAGATAGCCATTGATGATGAAGTCCACATAAATTATCCATACACCCAACTATAGACCAATCATATATCAACACCAGCCTAATGTAGTGGCGTTGTTTGAGCCGAAGATTAGCGGCGCTAATGCAAATGTGTTTATTCGTAATTCTGGGTTTGACCATTCTTCCCGAGTAGAGGCTTTCGGCTTCTCAGGAGGAATTTGGGTATTATGGAGGGAGAGAGCTGAAGTCACTGTGCTGCGATGCCACAAGCAACTCGTGCACCTAAGGGTTAAGGTTGATATACAAGAGACTTTAATCACCTTTGTATACGCGTCACCACACCCACGGGGGAGACGGGTCCTGTGGGAGCTCTTACACTCGCTGGCCCGGTCTATCCGCACTCCCTGGCTTGTTGGAGGCGATTTCAATTGCATACTACGGACATCAGACAGCTCTGGTGGTTCTCCTAATGGGGGCAGGGTTTGTAGTAACTTTTCTGACTGGGTTTTTGAGCATGGACTGCATGAAGTTAAAACCGATGGCACCAAGTATTCATGGAGGCGCCGGAACTTATACAAAAAACTGGACAAATTTTTATGTAATGAATCATGGGCTGATAAATTTCCGGAAGCCTTTGTACGTCATTTACCGCGCTTGCAATCGGACCACAACCCGCTAGTCGTGCGGTGCAAGGTCAGCCAACAAATGCCATGTGGAGATAAACCATTCCGTTTCCTAGCCCCGTGGCTTTTACATGATGACTTTAAAGATGTGGTCTCTAAGTGCTGGATAGAGGAAGGAAGTTTTGTGCAAGCAGCAAAGTCCTTCTCACACGCGGCAAGGGAGTGGAATTTCCAAGTTTTTGGCAATATTTTCGAGAAAAAGAAAATCCTCATGGCGCGCATTGGGGGCATCCAACGCTCTCTACACTATCGCTAAGCCCCTCGGTTAGCACAGTTGGAGAAGACTTTGACGACCGAGTTGGAGGACTTTTAATCCAGGAGGAGGTTCTTATGATTCAAAAATCAAGACGGGACTGGGCTCTATTTGGAGATCGCAACACCGCATTCTACCATAGGCAAGTCAAGGCCCGTCGGCGCTAATAAAATTGTAGCTTTGAAGGACGGTGACAATAACTTGGTTACGAACCAAGAAGAGCTGCAACGCATGGCCCTTACCTATTTTAAGTTAATTTTTGCGCCGGGGCAGATACCCCCATTAACACGAGGAGTGGGCCCAGGTTTCCCGCCTTTAAGCCCTCCGGCTTTGAATTTGCTTCAGAGAGACATATCAGAGGAGGAAATCTCACGGGCTCTAAATGACATGAGTCCTCTAAAAGCACCAGGGGTGGACGGGCTTCACGCCCTTTTCTTTAAAAGCCAATGGCCGACGGTTGGGAAATCGGTGTGCAACCTAATTCGGTCTATTTTTACGGGAGGTGATATGCCGCCTGAGGTTAATAAAACCCTACTTGTGCTCATCCCAAAACTTGACTAGCCCGAAACGATCAAACAATTAGTCTTTTGAACGTGGTGTATAAGTTGTTTACGAAGGTGCTCACTAACAGAATGAAACCTTTCCTATCTGGCTTGATCGGCCCGGCTCAATCAAGCTTTATTCTCGGAAGGCAATTTCATGACAACATTATTGTGGCTCAAGAACTGATACATACTATGCGAACTAGATCTGGAGTCACGGGGCATATGGTGGTGAAAGTTGACCTCGAAAAAGCGTACGACTTCTTGCGATGGGAATTTGTTGAGGATACACTCCTCCTTGCAGAATTCCCGTTGAGGTTTGTCTCTGCCATCATGAAATGCATCACCACTTCACACATGCAGATACTTTGGAATGGGGTGCCGAGTGAAGAATTTCGACCCTCGAGGGGAATCCGCCAAGGTGACCCCATTTCGCCTTACCTCTTCGTCCTTTGCATCGAACGCCTAGCACATGCCATTCAAAATGCGGTGCATGAAGAGAAGTGGAAGCCAATATCCGTGGGACGCGGGAGAGTGCAAATTCCATACTTGCTATTTGCCGATGATTTATTACTTTTCCTCGAAGCCTCGGTTGACCAGGTGAATGTGTTGAAGGAGGTCCTCGCAAATTTTTGTAACGTTTCAGGCCTGAGGGTGAGCGAGTCCAAAACGAACATATTCTTCTCGAAGAATGTCCCATTCTAGGAAGGAAGAACTCTTTTGGATTTGATGGGCTTCACTATGGTCGAGGATCTTGGGACTTATCTGGGCGTGCCAATTATCCATGGAAGGACCAAGAACAACACTTACGAGCGGATTATCGAGAGAGCGGAGAAGCGGTTATCGGGCTGGAAAGCGAATTCATTATCTGTGGCGGGCCGTGTGGTGCTGAACCAATCTGTAGTGAGTTCCCTTCCATACTTTACAATGCAATCTGTTCGACTACCGAATTCCATCTGCGAGGGATTGGAAAGCGATGTAGGAAATTTCTCTGGGGAGGCTCGCGGGACAAATGTAAACTTAGCTTAGTGAAATGGGAGTAGATTTGTAGGGCGCGAGAATCCGGCGGGCTGGGCTTGAAAAGGCAACGAACAATGAACAAAGCCTTGCTAATGAAACTGGGGTGGCAATTTCTCACCAACTGGAAATGTACTTTGGATTGATATATGGAAAGTGAAATACGGGAATAACCCTTTTCGGGATACTACTGCGCACCGAAACCAACCTCCATAGTCATGCAATCCGTGCGTAAAATTTGGAAACATGTAGTGGGTGGGGCTCGATGGGCTGTGTGTGACGGGACCATGGCAAAATTCTGGAAAGATAAATGGTTGCCGACGGGCACTACCTTGATACAAGCTGCTACTGGAGAAGTCCCGCAGGACATCATTGATAAGCCCGTAAATTTCTTTGCAGCGGAAGGAGAAACTTGGAGATGGCATCTGTTCGCGCATTTAGTCCCGGCTTCCACTCTACTCCAAATCGCAGCAATTCCAACGCTGCGGCCAGAGCTGGGAAGGGACCGAATTTATTGGGGCTTCTCCTCTACTGGAATATTCAAGACAAATTCAGCGTACGACATGTTGGCTGCTGAGGACAAGTCGGCAACGGAATCGGCATTGACACCGTTTTGGAGGGCGGTGTGGCAATGGCCTGGGCCCCAACGAACCAGGATCTTCCTCTGGTTAC